TAAATACTTTGGGCTATCTAGTCTAGTGGTAAAATTTAGGAGTTTGGAGAGGAGGTTAGTAGTCTAGTAGATCAAATACTACCCACAACATATATATTTAAAAGTCTTTGATTGGGCCTTGGGCCTTTGGGCTCTTTGAATTCTACAATTATTTTTAATTTTGTTTGTTTTTATAAATTCTACAATTATTTTATCATTGTAATTTCTATAATTTTTTATATTTGTAAATTACATAATTATAATTGATTAATAATATAATTTTTTATCAAAATTGTGTATTTTTTTGCTTTGTATTCTTGAAAAATTAAAAATTTTAAAAAACTAAGAAAACCCGGGCCGGGCCCTAGCCCACTCAGGCCCGGCCCGTGCCCGGCCCGGGGCAACTGGGCCAGGGTTCGGGCTCTGGTTTTGCGCAGGCCGGGCTAGGCTGAATGGACAAGCCTACATTCAAGAGATAGATGGATATCAAAGATACAAAACTTTCAATTAAGCATTATAAGAATGGATTCTCTCAGTTGAGTTAAAGCATGTTTGGCAAATAGTTAAAGTTAGCTTACAAGTCACAAGAATTGAGAATAAAAAAACAGCTCTAGCCCGGGGTTTCTTTTGTTTTTGTTGTTGTTGGGGGGGGGCGGGGGGGTCATTCAAGGATAGATGGATATCAAAGAAACAAAATATTCATTAAAGCATTATAAGAATGAATTCTCACAGCTGAGTTAAGGCATGTATGGAAAATTGTTAAAGTTAGCTTATAAGTCACTTTTTATGGCTTATAATCCACTAAAAAATAAGCTAAGATAGCTTATTTATTGTGGAATATAAATCATGAGTTCGACCAAGTAAAAGACGGTTATACTCATTATGATTTCACAAAATCCAATGCCTCATGTAACTGCTTACCATCAACATGTGTTCTTTTTTGTTGTCTTGACAACGAAGATGAATTATAATTCACCTATTTGCTAAACACTCTACTGTTTTATAGTGGAATATAAATCATGAGTTTGACCAAGTAAGAGACAATTAAACTCATTATGATTTTACAAAATTCAATGCCTCATGTAACTGCTTACCATCAGCATGTGCCTTTTTTGATTGTTTTGACAACAAAGATGAATTATAATTCACCTATTTGCTAAACACTCTACTATTAAAAATAAATTATAATTTACTAAATTTACCAAACAATCTATACTTAGAGGGTGTTTGGTTACATTTCTATAAATTATAGGAAATGTTTTCCATCCAAAATTTGATTTTCTTGTATTTCTTAAAAAAATTATAGAAAAAATTTTGAGAAGTTAAAAAGTACAAATTTTCTTATTTTTTGTATTGTGCTTGTTTGGTTCAAAACAAGAAAATGACTCATAACTTTTAGGAAAATTGCAACATTTCCTATAATTTATAGAAATGTAACCAAACACCACCAACTTTATAAAAAAGTGAGAACTTTATAGAAAAGTGTTAATGAGTTTTATTATTTAAATAATGAATGCGTCAGATTTTCAAGAGATTTCCGCCCATTTTAGAAGGAAATCAATTTCTATAAATTTTGGTACTTTTCTATACTTTAAAGAAAACATTTCTGTAAATCTTTTTTGAGCCAAACACAGTTTGTGAAAATCTATAGAAAACTCTTAATTACAGAAATACCATTGTTTGTATTTTTTGAGAAAACATTTCTCAAAAACAATGCAACCAAACACCCCCTTAATCCATCCGGATAATAATCCATTTCAAAAATATAATCCAAGTAGAGTATAATTCAAAGATTCCAAACATGCTCTCAGTCATTCAATAATCTATTCGCTAAAAAGGAATTCCTAACCAATTAACTTTCTTTCCTTCTAGTATCATCTTTCTCAAGACTTTTTGTTGTGAATCAATGAAACTTGGTCGGCGCGCAAAATGCACCTGACCTATATTATATACAGAAATTTTCAGCGTGGGCTGCTTCGTTAACTTTTTTCGTTTGATAAAATATTCTCAAGTGGACGAGTAACAACAACGGCATCATTGTAGAATGCTCTTACGTTATAATGATTCATATTTTATATTTATTTCAATACTAGTTTAAGATCTGATGGTTGTGCTTATTCTGATACTGTCTTCATGAATTCCATATTTTTCTATTGTTTTTCATAATTATAAGCACTTATATTGATTTAATATGAATATATTGAAACACTTGCGCGAGATATATTTCTATGAGAACAATGAGATCTATACTTATTTGATTCTGTTTTCATGAATTCAATATTTTTAATTTCACGAATATTGTGTTTACGGTAATTTAAATCTAATATTAAAATGCATAACTAAAGTTTTTTTAAGCGATGATGCTGCTGACCTATGTAATACGATGATACATTTCTATCAGAACACCTCATTGTAACCAGGTGATTTGATCCGTCCAGAGAACAGTAAAATATTGATACTGTCTCCGTGTTTCACACTTTCACACTTTGTTGTTCAAACGCTTTGAATAGTGTAGATGCTCTGTGTTGGGATCAACGGTCACAACAAGGCCTTCAAGGTTGTTTGTTTTGAAAAATATAAAATTGTCTTTTTTTTTTACTAGTGGAAAAATGCGTCTGTGTCACTATACGTCTATACAAGTAAAAAATAACATATTTCTTTGCAAACAAACTACTTTCAAAACATAATTACATTTCCCATAAAGAAACATAAAAATGTTTTTAAGGATACTTTTTGTGTTTGTTTGACATATTTATAAAGTAACGGAAATGATAATTCTTTCTCTCCATTTATTTTTTTTAATTTAGATAACAATTGATTATATCGTTAAGAAGTAACTACTATACGTTAGTTTCATGAGTACCATTAATTGTTTGGAATATAATTGAAGTAAAAGATTTATGTAGTATGTACATCACACTGAAATTACCTCATGATGATATATTCTTTGGTATATAATTGAAGTACGTAGAAGATGTATGTACTATATACATCACACTGAAATTACCTAGCCATGATATATCTTACAAATGGTGGACATTTAATAATCATTTTTTTCAACTGGAAAAAAAACCAAAAAGGAAACGTTGGACATGAGGATAAATGTGGCACATGGTAAGAAATCAAAATCATAAGTAATGTATATATATCGTGTAATTGGTAGACTCAATCTGAACATTTTACAAACTAATGCAAAATGTGTGCATTTTTGTTTCAAGAATAACTCAATCATATGCATTTTCTATAATGAAGATAGATGATTGCATGAGCACTTTCTACAGACATGACTGAAACCATTAATTTAATTTCATTATCTATTAATTAAAATATAAGCAAACCACATTATTGTTCACAAAAATAGAGATTGGGATGGACTCCAAATGTTCCTATCTTCAACGTACCTAATTTTTAATGTGGGCCTCACAAGCCTATGCTTGACCAACGAAAGTATTTTTAGAAAATATGGCGTCACATATGAAGGAGGATTGTGATGCTAAAACTTGATTTAGTTAATTCTTTTGGCTCTTAAATTTTTTATAACTTATTTAATTAAATGCATATATTATGGATCCAACTAACTAACCACTCTTTTATTTTCTCTTTACATAACATTTTTTTTCATCTCTACACTATAAAGCTAACTGATTTATAGTGTATGTCGTTTGTATATGTATGTGCATGTGCATACATTGCATAATATTTATCAAATAATTTGTAGACTTAAATTTTCATTTTTTTTATGGAGATGAAGACTTTGTCTCATGTTCAATTCGTAGCTCTGGATTTGTCTTTTATCTCTTAAATCCTTAAAAAAGAGTAGGATAATATATTATATGAAGGTTATTATTTAAAAGTCTTGATATCTAAGAGTATGTATACTTCTGATTAGAGAATCAAATATTGTTTCAGTATGTCCTTTTTTTTACTATGGATTGGGTAAGATTCTTATTAATTTTTTAATATTTAGAATGAATGTATGATCTTATTTTCGGAGTTTATGCAAAGCTATTTAAAGATTTTTTTTTCCCCTTGCACTATGTTGTAATCAGCTTTTTGTGTTATTTATTATCAACTTTTTGTGCTATTTATTATAAGTTGTGCTTTTTTCTTTTGAATGTAGGTCATAAGTTGTCCTTTCATGTTCATTAGATGTATTCATGGTTTAATTCATAACTAATTACTCGATTCATATGCACTTTAGTTCAGACATGTTATCAACTTATCCAACGTTTTTAATGTTTCTCGTCCTTTTAATTTTCTTATCTCTATTAAGCATCTTTTATGTTCTTTCGTTAATAATTATGTCGAATCATAAAACTTTATCTGTTTTCTTTTTTATTTAATCACCACTAATTTTTTTGTTCCTATCAACTTTAGGCTACAAAAATTAACTAATAAAACATATTGGCTATCTATCTTCTAATCATTGAGTAAATCGGAATACACAGACCTTTATATGATATAATTGATTAAATTGCATAAAAAATTTCATTTCTTATATGAAATCCATATTAATTTGTCTCTCGATTGAGATTCTTTAATTTGGATAAAAAAAATTGACCTTCACAAATTCCCATGAACTATTCAAACAGTATCTTTATATCGGTTGCGATTCTATATTGCTATATATCATAGCTTTTGTAATTTTGCATCTAATAATAATTTTTGCTTTTCCAACCAGATACTAAGCATTTTATATTAATTTTTTATTTAGCGGCTTTTGCAACTTTTGTGCATGATATATTGAGAATCAATATACCATAAATACATATTATACGGTAAGTACATACTAAAGAATTAATAATACAGAATATAGTATTTACTAGTAATTTCTCAAACTAAATTCGCCACCTGCAACACGCGCTTGCGGCATACTACTTAAGAAAGTAGAGTAGACGAAGGGGGTTTATTTATTTTATTTTTATTTTGAAAAATAAACAAGTCTTTTTGGCACGTCCTTTACTTCACCGCTTCCGTGCAAACAAACAAACAAAAAAAAAACTTCCAAGCTTATCAAATTACGCAGTCAAAAACGGTCGGCGATTTTCCCTTCATGGCTCTACTCTCACCGCGGGTGACCAGAACTCGCCCTCCGTCTCGCAGCGCAAGCGCGACTTCGCCTCGAAGGCCGCGGTCAAAAACTACAAAGAAAAAGCTAGGAATCAATTTCATCAGTAAGCTCTAATCCTCCTCCTCCTCCTAAGCTAGGGTTTCTATTTTCTCAACGTATTCTTCTTCAATTTTGGGCAGCTAAGTTGAGTTTGTGTAGTTGTCATCTTTGCTGCGCTTCGTAGTAACTAACTAAGCATGAGGAACGCGAGATCTCACCATCGTCATCAACACCACCACCACCATCAAAAGTACGGCCAGCAAGCATCTTTTCCTGCTGGAAGTTCGGGGGACCCAGGGAACCGGAACAAGCGGCTCCCCAGTTTCATACCTGATAACTTCAGCTCGCTCGATCAGGTTCTTGATTTCGATTGTGATGTGAATCTTTGACTTGGTCTGATGTCGAAATGCTGCCTGCTGATTGATTTAGCGAGTGAATTATTCTGATGAGGCTCTGCGTAGCTGAGATTGCAATCTATGTGCCGTTATCTAAATCTCGAAATAGTGATGTTCAAGGGATTATGGACCTTGATAAAGTGAAATTAACGTTCGTCTCAATCGTCGCGTGTCGTCTAAAGCTTGTTAAATATGCTTGGACCGTCTTCGGCGAACAATGATAGAGGAAATTGAGAAACTCGTCTGTAAAATTCTGGAAAAAAAAAAAGATGTCTATATGAAACGAACTAGAATGGTGATGCTAATTTTGCAGATTAAGGATAGCTATGGAGCAGGGCCATCCCCTTGGTCTCGGTTACCCGTACCCCAACCGCGATCCTCTAAAAAGTAGGATAGTGGAAGGCCGTAAGGCCTACCGACATTTTATACAGTTTTGCGGTTCGGGTCTGGTCCAGAGCCGAGATTCTACCCAATTCTGGTATCTGGCCTGGTCTAGTCCATTTGATGACCCTCTCAAGGCCCTGCTCTAAGGGCTCAAACCAATCAAAATTTTCATTGGTTTTGTAACTAACCTAGCGACCTAACCGAACTCTTCCGTAGGAGTATGACCTAGATTGGCAAGCATATATTAGTTCTAATGTACTCAAGAATTAATACTCAAGCACTTTTGAGGGAGGAATTGTAGGAAAATATTGTAAACTTGTGTGCTTGAGAAACACTAGTACTAAGATAGCTAGAAGGGTAAACTTTGGAGAAGTTCTTGCTCAGTCATTTAACTGCTATTTCAATTGTGCAACATAACAAGTTTCTAACTTTCCTTGACGACATGTGGATCTTCCTTGTTGTTGATTGTTAGATAAAACTCTCCACCAACCTAGTAACAACATGATATTGTGAACTAAAGTTTGTTATGCTCCACCTCCAACCAAATACTTGTTATATCCTAATCTCTTGATGATGTGTCCTAACATCTTGATTAATGTATTCATATACATAATCAATTAAGATATGAATAAAAGTTTACTCCAAATATTTTACATGGTATCAAAGCCCTAAATCCAACCTGCTTTCAACATATATGGAACACATTTAAACAAACTCGGTCCCAAACAAAACCATTGTTGCTCAACGTCTTGGCACCATCGATGCTATTTACAGCCTGAAACCTCCCTCAACTCGTCTTTCCATTCGTGAATGCCACCAGCAACTCTAACAACTTGCTCGGCAAACCTCTCTTATGTCTTTGTGTGTGTGCGATGTACACAACTTTTAGCATATTAGGAGGATTTTGGGTTAATTTGGTTAAAGGAAATGAGATGGACCATCATGTTCATACCCTATTCCAATCACCTTCTTCGCTGAGAGGTCCTGAAAAACACAATAGTTTAGATAAAATGGGATAGAACAATAAAGATTAGGTTAATTTTTTACGAATAGTAAATTGAACTTGAATGAAGGAACATAAAAACATTTTTAGGAGAAATTTGTGAAGAAAGTTTGGTGGAACCAATACATGATAAAGAAGTTGCACTCCTATCATGAAGAATAACAAAGGGTAAAGCTGGAGGTGGAGGATATAAGGATGATAGCATATTAGGCTCATAAACCATATGGTCAGTAAATCTGATGTCTAAATCTAAGAGGTAGAATGTATCGCAGAGGAAATACAACAATTCAAAGTACCTGCTAAATGAGTCATGTACAATAATGACCATTTTACCTCATTCAATAGGGAAGAAGTCATGGTTAGGATCAGATTCAAAATTCGGATTGTGGATATCTAATTCAAGTTGGTCAGATCTGAAGAGGGGAGGAGCAGCAAGCGGCAAAGTTCACAGTACTTCCTATAGAGATATGGCTGCTATAGATTGAGGGTGTGATTGACTCCCAAGATTTTTTTAGTGATATTTTGTCCCAAGATTTTTTTAGTGATATTTTGCGAGCAAAAAAAAATCATGGCCACAATCTTGACCAAACATTATGGAGAAATCTCAGCTACAAGCAAGGAGCTGAGGGGGTAATCCACCTCATTGAGATAGACAGCAGACACGAAGTCTGATCTAAAGTTGAGATGAAGCAACAAACTAATTGAGATCAAAACAACAAGATATTACTTGTAAAAGATAAATGTAACAAGAGTCAAATTTGCTTAAAAGTCCACAAGTGTAAAGGATGATGTAGATTAGATGCTTGAAGGCAACAGTGAAGTCAGCCGAACAGGTCATTGGAGTTGTCTCTAAACTAATAAAAGGAAGGCTAAATCTTTTGGGACTGAGTTTGTTTAGATGGGTCCCATATATATTGGAAGAGGAATGAATCTACCGTTCTGATACTTTTGTTCATATCTCAAGTAGTTTATATAGGAATGAACAATCAAGAGGTTAGGATACATCATCAAGAGGTTAGGAAGTAATAGTATTTAGTTGGAGTTGGTAGAGCATTACAAACTTCAGTGAGAAAATCGTCATGTTGCTAGGTTTTTTACATCTAATAGTGACTGACTCTAATTAGGTAAAATAATCTATTATAATTTCCTGATTAATGATGAAGACAACCTAGGATGGATGAACAAAGGCACGAGAGATAGGAATGACATTTACATGATGATTTGTGTGTATGCACGAAAATATAATATCGAGATGTTTTATTTCAATAGAACAAAATAAAATATAGGCCTAATGGTGAGGTTGTGGATAGAGAATAGTGTCGCGTAGCGGTTGGGCACTGCTAAGGCTATTTTGGGTTGCAGCAGCAAAAAACGCAAAATCAAAGAGCGGTCTAGTTTAAATATGTATAAATTTTCTAAAAATAAGACAAATTCAAGAAAAAACTAAAAATTCTATAAATGCATATTTGATAATTTATAGAGATCCTAAGTATGAAATAAATGTGTGACAATCACATAATATTAACAAAATACTGTACAGAATGAAAAGATGTACCTGTTTATCAAAATGACTGTCATTGTCTCATTCTTTTAGCTTTCAATTTCCTCTTATAAAAAGTTCTCAACAATAGAAAAATATTGATTAGTAGCAACATAATATTCAAAATGTGGCACAAAAAGGGAATATTCAAGCATAAATGAGCAAAACAAGATAATGTCATAATATGTAACAAGATTCTATAGATCCTAAGCAAATAGTAAAGATTAAACCCCAACACATGTCCAAACTCCAGACTCTAAAGTTTAAATCCAAACAAAATAAAAGCCAGAAGTCTTAAAAGTGAAGTCTAAAATCGAGTATTAAGTGAGGGGTTGGAGCGGAGATAATGTTATAATAGATAATCGAGTATTAGTTGGTGGAGGCAGCGAAGTTGATGAGGAGTTGAAGCACAGGAAATGGTGGATTTGAGGAGTTTGCAGCGGAGGAGACAGTGGAGTTGTAGGAAGGAAGCGGCGGAAACAGCAAAGTTGGTGGAGGGAGGCGACAGAGCTGGTGGAGGGGGGCAGGGTAACCGGAGAGGAGAGTTATGGTTAGGATATTGAGTGGAGAGGGGATATCAAGAGAAATGAATCGAGTATTAAGTGAAGAGGAGAGTCAGGGTCGGGTTCGAGTAGATTTCGGGTCAAGTTTTTAAAATGGCCGCTTATCTAAAATGCCCTCTGTTAAGTGCTCAAAAGCGCTCTTCCACTTTTAACCACTATGTAGCGCTTTTGCACGCATTTTGCCGCTATTGCGAGTAAATAGCGGTTTGACCACTTTTTTTTACCTGCTATTGATGCAATCGTTGTGGGAGGGTGCCAAAACTGTAATTGCAGTCGCAATTGCGCTGCAATTGGTTGCAATTTATAACACTGCTTAATGGTTTAAACCCATAAGTTGAATCAAGTAACAAAAAAAAAAAAAGAAATTCCGATTAGGTTATTTTACGTGATGCGAATTTAATAGCCCAAACGAAACAAAATAAAATAATCAATGCAAATTAAACAAAGAAGTATCCAAAAGTCCAATCCAATACCTCATAAAATACAAGTGTATATAGCTCTCACATGTTTGTGAAATGTTTATATCTTTTAACCTAGTATCCCTCATGTATAAGGATATTTTTTTTATATGTTCGTTTAGACAAGGCCCAATTGTGCCTGTTACAATGGCTTGACTGTGCTCAACATTCGAATTTTATCATTTCTTAAAAAGGCGACATGTTTATGATGTGATAGGATCTGTACATGTCAGACTTTGTTTGAAGTGCTCGTGCTTCATAGGAAACATGCAGTATGCAGGAGCAGGTTGAAGATAACAGTGTTGGCTTATTCTTTGTATGATTCAAAAAGACGAAAGGAGAACAAAAAAGGTTGAAGATGACAATGTAGTCTCAACTCTCAAATTCCTTAGTTACGAGAGAGATACATGAGTTTTTTTAGAGGCTACTCCTAACAAGTTCTCTTTCATCTATCTTTTGCAATAATGGTTCCAGCTACCCTACTTTTCAGTCATTCTATTAATATATTCCTAATACAAATTACGTTCTGTGTGCACTCATGATTAGCAAAAAATAATTAATTGTTCCGTACAAGTGTATCTGTTCTGAAATTCTCAATTGTTGGAAATTCCTCCTTGCAAGTTGGAATATCTGATTTCAGTAGATAGAGTTTTGACCACAGAAATAATTTCTTCCCATTTTCAGGTAATTTCGGCATTAAGGGAATCTGGCCTTGAGTCATCGAATTTAATTCTTGGGATTGACTTTACCAAAAGCAATGAATGGTCAGGTGAATGTTCTCTCTTACCCAAACTCCAAAGATAAGTAACATTACATTTCCTTTCCCGTTTCTCATGGTAGTTTGAGGTTAGTAACAAAGGTTTTAATGAATTCAGGCAGGTACTCATTTAATAGGAGGTCTCTCCATGCTATTGGTGACACACCTAACCCCTATGAGCAAGCAATTTCAATTATTGGGCGTACACTGTCTCCTTTTGACGAGGATAATATGATACCGTGTTTTGGATTTGGAGATTGTCAGTATCATTGTTTTCGTATTCTTTCATATTTTGGGAGCTTATTTTTTTCAATTTCTACTATTCTGCATCTTACCTAATTGCATTTTCTTGGTAGCCTCTACACGTGATCAATACGCCTTCAGCTTTTTTGCTGATCATCGCCCTTGTCATGGTTTTGAGGAGGTTCTTTCACGATATAAAGAGATTGTTCCACATCTGCATCTTTCAGGTTACTGGATTTGCTCTAGTATACGCTGCAAGGAATGTGCATATCGATTTATCTTGCTTTGTTCACTAGTTCGTGATTATTATCTAAGTATCTATGGGATCACAGTATAAAATCTTATAAATTATTCTAAGATAATACTATGTCACCATGGTAGGCTGGAAAAGTTATCAGCTTGAATTGTTTTTGTCATTAAGCTATATTATTTATCCAGAAATTTGATGTTTAATTGCAATAGATTGTTCAGTACCTGAGCATTTTACATGCACCTCTTTGCCATCATATAGAATGATTGAGCAGTACTGGTAGTTGATAATAGATACACTTCCTGGTATCTGGATGTGGAGTTCTTTTTGAGAACGATATTCACGTCTAAATGGACAACTCATCTCCGTTAAATTTCAGGACTAGTTTATTTTAATCTAATTTTATTTCCTGCCATGCAATGTACAAGTATCGAGCACAAGTTTCTAACACTTATCTGGGCTTTATTTTGTGAACCAGGTTTGCTTCGCTGAACTTTGACAAATGCACCACCATCAAAGCAAATAATAATATCTATAAATAAAATTATCATGGAAAGGGAACTAATGTTACTATGTTCGTGAATGCAGCAATTCTATTCAGCTTTATTAGAATACTTTTAACAGACTACCCAAGATGAGATATAAAGTAGATGGAATAACTTATCATTACAAATTTACAATATTACATAAAAGATTGTCATGGGATTGAAGGAATTAGGATGATAAAAGATGGAGATAAAAGAACTTATCATTACATATAAGATTGTCAAGGGATTGAAGGAATTAGGGGGGTACAGGATGGTGTTATTTCAGTATCATTAGACTAACCACAATGGTCCCACAACATATATTGTTCCTTGAAAAACAAACATTTTCTCTAAGAAATTACTTTAGGACATGATAACTAGCAGTTAAAGTCATAGAATCGTACGCATACACAGAATCCACTGCGGTAAATAGTAACTGCAGGATGTTTTGGTTGAATGTCAAATTTGACAAAGAGAAGAAGATTTGATGAGTCCAAAAGGGGTTAACATAGAAAATTTGTTCCTCGATTAATATCAATAACCATCATCAATCATTTGAAAGTTTTGAGGCATTTTTCCTATGTTCAGACAGGTTATAACTGCATTTTGACTATTACACCACAGCAGTCAGCCTGACGGCTGTATATTTGTCTGAAAGTTCAGATCGTCAACTGTTACCATATTACTTTGATAGCAAATTCAATTCTTTGGTCTCTCATGTGTCATTTAGTTTGTAAGCTTGTTGCATACCTTAGAATGAGACCAGACTCTGACCTTGATGTTAGATCATTTAAACTGACATCTAAATGCTTGAGCCTTGACATGGGACGGTTGGAGGTCTTTTCTGCACAAACCATTAAGTTACCGAGATATTTGGAATTCAAAATGCTTAATTTTGTATTTCTGTTCATGTATAAAACTAAATTTCCTTTAATGGCACTAATACTACTTTTGTTCCTAACATACCTGGCTTTCTACTCATTCTTCTATTCAAAGATATCATCCTCAGTAGGCACTACCATATACACAAGCTTACAGGATCATAATGCTATTTAGTTTGTTAACTTTTGAACCAGTTTTGTTATGCTTCCAAGTATACTAGAGCATTTAATCATTCCCTTCTAATTATTGTGCAGGTCCTACTTCATTTGCTCCAGTAATTAATGCTTCTATTGATATTGTTGCGAGGAGTAATGGACAATACCATGTCCTTGTCATTATTGCTGATGGACAGGTTAAGATATTTGACTCATAAAAAAGTTCTTCTGTTGACATATCATATTAACTTAGTTCACTTAGATGACATCTTTAGGTCACAAGGAATCCAGACGTACCACGCGGAAGTCTGAGTCCACAAGAGCATGCAACCGTAGATGCTATAGTTTGTGCCAGGTACTCAATTCAGTAATTTAATTACTCTAGTTTCTTGCTACGTTCTTCTGAAGCGCTTTCACCATTCAGCTATTATCCTCTTTCAATCATTATGCTTGGTGTGGGTGATGGACCATGGGACGCAATGCAGCAGTTTGATGATTGCATTCCTCAACGGGAGTTTGATAACTTTCAGGCAATAGCGCTTACAATTGTGTTTTCTTTGATCTCTTTTCCTATTATTACCTAATACTTATTCTTTTTTCTGGTGAGAAAATGCTTGTAAACTTTCAGTGCACTTTAAAGATCATAGACTGCCTTTTCGTAAAATGCTCAGTAATTTAAACCATGTTGGAAGCCAATGTAATATACAATACGGATGTCTTAACCTTCTTCATAAAGCCCTTCTTAACTTTCTTCATAAACCTTCTTCAGTGCACTTTAAATTATCATAGACGCCCTTTTTGTAAAAAGGTTAGTAGTTTAAACCATGTTGAAGCCAATGCTGACGTCTCAACCTTCTCTGGACCCCTTCTTAACTTTCTTCGTAATCCTTCTTCAGTGCACTTTAAAGATCATAGACGTCCTTTTTGTAAAAAGCTAGTAGTTTAAACCATGTTGGAAGCCAGTATATATACAATAATGCTGATGTCTTAACCTTCTTCATAAACCCCATCAAGTATGCATCTCATGACAAGTCTGATATAGAAAATAAAGGAAGGACTTGTCTTTGTGATGGAGTATATAGTAAAATTTGTACTTCCTTTCTGTATGACATAGAAGCACCCATTGAACAAAGGTGAAGGACAGGATAAAATTTCCATATGAGGTGGTGGTTAAGCTCTGTCATGCAGAAACTAATTTGTGGAAATATGAGTGCATGTAACATGCTTCTTTAAAACATTACTGGTAATGAAGACAACCTTCATACAAGAACACCATGGATAGTTGGGTAACATAACAATGTCTATGAACTATCAAGCATTAAAAAACAGCAACCCTTCACATGGATTTGCAGGCCTATGTAGGCCTGGAAAAATGTAGTCGAAGTGTTTCCCAGTTAGAGCAAGCTAAATCGATGCTTTTGAAGAATGAAGAAACCCCATCGTCATTCTTTTTAGCATCCATATTGCACCTATTCTCAGCATAGACCTTCTGTGGAAGCACCTACTATATATTATTGTTACGTCAGTATTTAATCCTATTGGAATGGAGGATTTTCCTCCATGATAATAATCCATGCTCTGTTTAGAAGCCAGGCCCAGCATTTTGAATGCGCTAAATTTTTTAATGCTTGTGCAGTTTGTGAACTTCACCAAGGTCATGTCTTCAAATATGGATGTGAAGAAAAAGGAGGCAGCTTTTGCACTTGCTGCTCTCATGGAGATTCCCTTCCAGTATAGGGCCACCCAAGGCCTTCGACCTATGGAGTATGCCATATTTTACATTTTTATTTAATGCCATCAGTAATTTGAGGATTAATTAGTAAATAATCTTTGATGGATCTCAGAAAGCAAAGGGAAATAGCAAGTGCACCAAAGGTTCTTCCTCCTCCACGAGAAGTAATTGAACGAGATAATCAAGCAGCAATATCACATCCTCCGGCATCAAGTTCTGAATCAGCAGAGTATAGTATTCCCACAGAACAGGTATAACCTCATTCTGTTGAACATCTTTGCATTTGAGGTTTTTTCGGGTGATTTACATGAGCTTATTGTTTTTCTTGCTGTTCAGGCCTGCCCTATTTGCTTAACAAATCCACGGAATATGGCATTTGGATGTGGTCATTTGGTAAGTTTTCTTCGACCTTTTTTTGCAGTAAAACTCTATATTTTACAGCGAGTAAATGATTATCTCATCAGCGTCTGGACGTGAGGTTATGTTAGATTTTTGGTATTCCATTCTCAGGGTAGGAACTTAGGTGGTATTTGGTTCTAGTTCTTTTATATCAATCTTTATGTATTTATTTCGTCTTGAGACTTTTGTGTTTAGTTAAGCACGTGCTTATGGAACAGCGGAAGTACTTTTACCTCCAAAAAAAGAAAAGAGAGAAAAGAAAAGAAAATGTCTGCTTGTTATATATAACTGATATCCAATGACCTCTAGGATGATTTGGAACTATCATCACTAAATATGATCTTACAGATGATTAGTTAACCGATTGTGGAAATTGTTTCACTTTAGATGATCCATTCTTTGCCTATTTTCAGCATGCATTTGAAGGTCGGTCTTAAATTCACAAACATGTTCTCAGGATAAAAAATACATCCTTGGAAAAAAAATGACTGGTATTAGAAGAAAAATGCCGATCTTCTTTCTGTGACTGCAAGTGCACCCCAGACCCACATTTTCTCAAGTCCTGTTGAGCTGAATCAGTGTAGTCTAAATTGCAGGATTCTTGTTTTTAAAAATTAAAAAAAAAAGTCTAAAACCTTTCGAGGCCAGAACTAATATGGATATGCCCCTCAAGGTACCATCTGTTTGATTTTTCAGCTAAATCCGTTGATGAAAATACCAGGTTCATTTAGCGCACCGCGTTGGTGATGTGTTCTTTAACCAAAAAAGTCTTGCTTAGTTTAGAAATATAATATTCACTTCTAAGGATTAGTTTATAAATATAATCTTCACCACTAAGGATTCTGTCTTTATGGTAAAGTTTGTTAGTTAAATGGATCACAGTTGTGAACAATTGTAAATTGTAATGATGTAACTTCTATTTTCCCCTCTTAAGACCTGCAAGGATTGCGGCCCAACACTCTCAACATGCCCCATGTGTCGAGCTCCCATAACGACACGTGTGAGGTTGTTCTCTTAGACGAGATGGCTCACGCAGCACCAACAGAGAGCTGCTGGTTTCCTACTGCAGGAGCACATCTATCGAACAGTGTATTCTCTTCTTCTCCACAACCACCCAGCTCACTCCCTCTTATTCTGGAGCAAAAAGGCACTGCTTGATGATATACCGTCTATAAGAGTTGTAGATAACAGCAAAAAACTTGCTTAAGTAGCTGCTGGCTCGGAGCTATGTGGTTCGATAAGCCCTTCTAATTGGTGTGAGCATGTAGCCTAAAAGCATTGCATTTGGTTAGCAAAAGTTTGATAAATTCTGTACATGAAGTTAATAAGCCTCCCTCTGTAACTATGTTGAAATAAGGTGAGCTTCCCAAGTTATTTGTTTATCGTCTTTCTTGAAAAAGAAAATGCCATCGTATATGTATACAAATACAAGTTTGTTGTCAGTTTGTGTGTAATTTTTGCCTGTGACCCATCTGTATTAACTATTTGCTAGCATCTATCATAAGCTTTTTTTTTTGTTTTCGAGAATTATTTTGAACAAAAGATGTATCCTTGGAGCCTCTCATTCAATGTTACGGATCTACCAGTAAACCAGATTTCAGTAGCGCGCTCAGAAGGTGCTTGTGGGTGGAACAATCACAATTTTTGTAATTTAATTATAATACGGCATGCCAGATTGGATGTGTGCTTTTAGATGTCTTAATTTTCTTCTCAAGAATGAAACTTGGTGACATTATCCCTCCTTTGTATTCGTGTTCGAAAATAAAAAAAACAATTTCCTATTCTTCAACCAATTAAAACTTTAGGCTCTACACTATATAGCTGAACAAGGACGTTAAAACATTTCTTGTGCCAAGCCAGGTACAAAAGGCTTATGAGCTACATTCATCCCAAACTCATCTCCACATGTTGAATGTTTTGCCGCTGACATAATTACTGAGGAAATGCTCAGAATACAGTCACAATACACATTCCTTTCCTAGAGTTCAAACACATCAGTTTTCTGCTGGAGGAAACTCAGTTCCTACAAATTCTCAGCAACTCTTACTAATTTACTGTGATGCCTGGGACCTCCAGGCCTCGCTTAGCAATTGTACATCCAGTAGTATGAGAAACACCAAGATAATCCTGCAAACTTTGAACCACATACAAAATCGCAAAGTACAGTTATTGAACAGCGACAATCCGAGCCAAGTTGACATCCAGCTGTCTTTAACTGAAGTTACTAGTTGCCACTCATGCGGATGCCAGACTAGTTATGTACCCAAAATACCATCAATTCAGCCACCAATTATCACTGTCAGCAACGGAAGACAAATGCATCAGAAACTAAATATCCGGGTTAATTTCACAAAAATCGCCTAAACTTTGAGAGGTCTTGCACTAAAACCTCCCACAACTTTATAAATCATAGAAGACCCACTGAACTTTCAAATTAACACTAAACCCCCTGAACCATTGGAAATTGTCACAAGCGGTGTTGATGGGTGGCGTAAGAAGTCAAAACTATACTTCTTTTACTTTTAACCATCCTTATCCAAAAACGGTTAGAAGTTGCATCTAGTAGATAGGAATAAGTTTATCCAAGAGTTGTCATGCAAGGCAAATGACAACTTAAAGTAACTGTAGTCAGTCATGGTACATAAGCGAGACAGTTAAAGAGGGTTTTCTATGACTTCTCACGTTCAAGGAGTTTGTAAAATTTACCCTTATATATGTATAGGGCTCACACATACAGTACAATATAATACCTCGAAAGAGCTCAAAAGTTCCACCGGTCAAGTTGCGTCTTAGCTTCAGCCATGTCCTTTTGTGCTTTCTTCCGCCGATAGAAAATGGGGCAATCCCGACTAAGAACGAAGCATGCATTTCAGATATAACAAAATGAACTCAAATATGAAGTAAAAAGTTCAAAAGCAGAAACAAAAAGGAAACCTTGTGCACAAAACATCTTGGTGGAGCGAGCCTTGGCATTCTTGACACTGCGTCCATAGCCTCCCAAAAAGCATCTCCAGCTCACGAACTACACAAACACAATCAGCCCATGAAAAACAACTAGAAGCAATACATCATGTGAAGTGAGAAAAGATGATAAAACAGGCTAAGCATGTTGATCATAAATGGGTAAATTACATATTAAAACCCCTAAAGTGGAAAACAAGGGAACCTCTGCATAAATTTCTACAAAAGACAACCAGTCAGGTTAAAACCTAATCATGGTGCTTACCTCTCAGCTTGCATTTCTTACCTCTAGTAACTGGCAGGGTTAGCAAGTAAAAGTCTTATGAGATAGAAGTAGAAGCCATACCATTAGCTACTGTCTTGGAATACAACTCCGCTTCTCTTCCTTTGCAGTGTTTGCAAAGTGTTTGATCTGCATTGCTGGTGAAAAAAAAAACAAGAGAAACAAGGTTCAGCTCCTCAATTATTTCTTGTTTAACACGTGTTACGCAAGGAAAAAGATCTAGAGATGTGTTCTCCATTCCTCCTTAACTTATTGTAAGGCTTTGCCCTATCATCAATGTTATGGTGTATACAAACACAAATAATATGGTTCTCATTTCCAACAAATATTAAAGCTTTGCATTACCATCACTAATGTGGTGTAAACAAATACAAATAATATGGTCCTCATCTCCAACAAATGGATATAGAATCCATTTGGACAAATATGGTAGCGGCAGACCTTTTGACATTTCTTTATTTGTATCAGATTATAACAAATTATATCTGAATGCATGTAAGTTTAAACTGTATCCTACAATACATATAACATTCAGCTACTATTATTGTTTGACTGGGTCTGAATTTCATAGATATTAAATAATTACAGTGCGAATGCAGTGTTAGAAGAATATCTATTTTGCATTACTATCTGCTAAAAAGACAATTCCAATTATGACAACACCTATATACGCTCCCTAGGTGCTCAGAATGGACCTCATTCACCAGTCTCCCACTTCAAGAGATATGTAGATGAGATTATAAGTTGAAAAAATAGTTTGTTAACCAAATATAAATACTTTGCTCTTTCTAATCCGGAGACAGGTCTGCAACATCTACCTTTACAATTAGTCATGCAAAATCTGGAAAATGGCCTGCTTCTGTATTTAACAGACTTACCTAAGTAGCGCTTTGCATCCAAGGCAGCCAAGCTGTTTCTTTGCGAATTTCATTAAACCGCCGGTTGAAGGAGTAGAAATTGACATAGCCCTGGTGTGACTTCCTTGAAGGAGTTCTTTACTTGCATTTTTCAGAATAGGTTCAAATATTCTCAATAATGGCTGCCAACATGAAAAGATTTGGAAAATAAATTCAAGTAAAAAAACCTTTGGCACAAATACGAGAGTGGATACTTATTAAACCTTGCTGATCTGGTTCTCAAGGTAGTACTGGGGGTCAATAGGAATGTTGTTCTCAAGCACATATATGGGATCCTCCGACTTCTCATAAGCCTGAAATTAGTGCATCACTTGAATACATAAATCAATGAATATGAATATACATGCTAACTATCTACTGCACTTGGGCGATAATGAATTGAATTACCTTGGCACCTTTTGCAGCTTTAATTATGACATATGGAACACGGTCTCCAACATTGGGGGCAGTTGCAGCATCACGCTGTTCACAAAGAACATGATGGTAGATCAAGCCACTAGATCAAATCACATTTTAAGTTAAAGCAGAATAAAGAAACAGAACAAATAAATAAAGCATGCTGCAATGCGAGAAACTTTAACTAGAGCTCTTCTATATCATCAATGGTTCAATCTTTCTCCTATATTCCTTTACCTAAAAACATTTTGGTACAACACAAACTCCATGATGTTAAAATATCAACTCATCTTGTTAGTTGTTGTATTGAGTTGTTTATATTAGATACAAGTTCTTGAAATAACAGTCAGAGAGAATCCCCATAGATCGAGCTAGATGCAACAATTTTGAATAACTTGTGGTATACCAAAGTCTTCTTTTTCTCAATGTTATTCCTTAATTTTGACACATTTGGATACAAGTAACGTGCAATTGTATATGTTATTATTCATGTTACCTAAAACACTAAAAAGTGTGGTTAAGAAACAGAAGGAAAGAGAAAATAAGAAAAAAATAAAACTCATACAGTATCATATTTTAGGCCATGCTCAATAGTTACAAGTTAATTTACAAAATGACATATTTCTCTATTTCAGTTTTTTTTGGGGAAATTTGTGAATATTTGAAAACTAACACAATAAGACAATAAACAAACTGTTGTAATATATGCTAGTAGCCCAACATATAGTATTAAGATCCCCTCCTTTGCAACATATTCCTTTTTATTTATCATGGATAGTAAATTACATGTTCAATGCTTGTGTATCATGTTGTTTGAACTTTGAAGAACTGCTTTTGTTTTCTAACATTTAGTGAGACTGTGGTATCCATTCCTCGTGTCATGCATGATTCATTCAATTTGTCTCCAGTAACAGCACTACATCATGCATGATGTGCACAAGTTCTTTTCCTAATTTTTTCTCCAACAATTCACACTAAACGTGTTCATTATAGTTACACTTGTGTCACATGCGACAAGCACACTATATTCACACTAGTTGCCACCAAGAATCTTCCAAATCTTTATGTAGCATCATCATGGCAATTGCCACCATGTTGACATTTTTGCTCAATACATGTCCATCAACTTTAGTTCTACCCATTCCTTTCCTATAACACACAGAGGTGGTAAACATTCATTACTCTGAAATGGTAACTAAAAGATTGGGTCCTAGAATTAGGTATCACATGTTCAGTAACTTTATACCTAATCGTGAATCTTTCGAAGTTAAGGAGACTGCTGCACCAAATAACACGCTGACCTATTTGTCACTATTGTCTATTTTGCGCTCAGAAAAGACCAAAACAAATATGGAAATAGGGGATGGAGGTGTGGCATACCTTTCTCATTCGCTCAGCAAGTTCAACATGTGCAGCCTTCACAGCATAATCATCACCTGTTTTTGTCAAACCCTGTTATGTGAGAAAGACGAGCAAATTAGATAAAAATGCGGCCAACCTGCATTCCAACAAATTAGGCAGAACCCAAACAATAGAATAGGCATCATCCAGATTTCATTCAAATTCTGAAAGACGAAAAACAGCTTTATAACAGTGATCCAAGAAATAACTCACACCTTTGTTATAACCAAAAGAGACAAGTCCATGCGGTTCATCAGAAGATCAGATATGGTGTTCTTAACATATTGAACAGCACCAGGAACATCTCGGTCAATTAATAATTTGTTAAGGCATTCAGTCACCAGATTTTTTACTAACAAACAGTTGTCTCTTCTGACTGTTTCAATGCCTGTTACATCAAAAGAAAAGAAGATTAGAGAGGTTTACCACATGAAGTAACTCTTGTGCAGTACTGAAATAACTCTTACCTTTAGTATCCATTTTGTCGAACTTATCAGGATTTGTCCAATACAATCCAGCATATCTTTTCTTGCTAATTAATAGATATGGATAATAAACCTTCTCGAACTCTAGTTTGATGGGCTTCAAACACAAATATTAGACAAACCTCCACATTAACAAACTTGAATAACTTAATTAAAACTTAAACAAGTTGAATGATATATTATTTGATTAAATAAAAACTACGCAAAGAATCAAGCTACAGCTAGGTTGATATGGAAACAAAATGATGACAGCTAAAAGTACTTTGAACATGAATCCCAAGATCAGAAATATAAGCATCTGCAAAACCAGCATTATGAATCGGTAAATAAGGTAACTAAATTAACCAACTTATTCATCCACATAAACAACAATGTAAAAGTTAGATTTGCACAGATGACAACCCCCTGAATGCGCAATTATTTCATTAGGAAAAAAAATCAGGTGATAATCCTGTAAAAACCACCAGAAAACCTCAATCTGCTATCAAACTCGACCAATGAGATGGACAAGTAAAAAGAATGGTAATTAAGTGGGAAACATAAAATACCTCTACAACTCCACTCAAAACAGTGGTAAATTGGAATAGATAGAAAACCCAAATAGTTTAACCAGTAAATTCCATAAAACACTTGAATAAATACCTTCGTGAAAGTTCTGCTGATATAATCGGCTGCCTCCCTTCCCAGTTTCATTGCAGCTTCTACACTTGGCACACCGAATTGTACCATGACAGAATCAGTGTCTCCATAAACAACCTAGCACAGAATATAAGTTATCAATAGTGACTAATCATTAACAAAAAAAAATTCTCAAATTCAGAGACCAATTGCACACATATACTTATGGCAGTGTCTTTGCATTGTGGTCAATGCCATCACTACTGTGTTCCAAATTGATTAATACCACAATTCAGTACAAAATATTTTCACCAGTGTATGCTTGATGCTAAAAGTTTCCGAAGCAATTATCGGTCACCGACCACCAATTTCTTCCTTCTACCATTTTTAGTGTGCTTGGAGTATCTTCTTAAAAAATATTGTGTGTGTGTTTTTTTTTTTTTTTTTTTGTGGGGGGGGTTTTTAGTGTGCTTGGAGTATCTTCTTAAAAAATATTGTGTGTGTGTTTTTTTTTTTTTTTGGGGGGGGTCGTTAAGACTGCAAACACAGTTTATGTACAAAGTAAAACTTCAATATGATATGATAAGGATTAATTGTTAAGATATAGCCATTTCCCTTCCCCCTTATGTGGAAAATTCCATCTCATTGGATCCTATTGCATTTCTCATGTTTGCAGTTCATCTGATTTTATTACAAACTTTTCCACAGAAAATAATAAGAAGAATTATTTTCTTACGATGTCTTTATCAATGAAAGATATAATCTATGAGCATGATTAAAACAATTTTTTCATTTTTTATTAGAGACTCGATGCACCTAAACCAAAATGGTATCTGTTAAGTAAACCTTAACACACTTCTGATGTCCCAAATTACTACAGGGTGCCAAATCCTAGATGATGTATTATTAACTTAATAATACGCTCTTTCGAAACAAGTAAAAGTGAAAATATACTTTTAGAGGGCAATCAACCGTAGTTTCAAAGATTCTAACCTACCTCTAAAAAAATATACTCATAATTTGACCTTTTTTTTAACCTCAAAAGATATAGATTTCATTGATATTAAAAAGCTTCATGATACCTCCCCGAAACTTTGGGAGCAGATACATCATGAAGTGACACATCCCTCACTGAACAAAAGTATACATAACGCAAAACTATCACAAAAGATTTTTGAGCTATACACATGGAGCTCCTGAAGAAACAAAATAAACCAAAAGACCAAACTCGTGGTAGCTTCATTCTCCCAATGATACATATCCAGTAGTAACACCAACCTATAAATGGAGCATTCAATCCCAAAAAAACCATGACCAAAGAGCACATACTATTCCCGAAACCACCAGCAAGCTTCATAAATGGGCATGCAAGAACCAAGGTAAGATCGAAACCAAATCCTCAACGCCATGTCCAACTAGCACACATTATCGGACCCTGCAGAAATGGTGACCCATCTTATCGAGCCATAGAAACTTTTTGAATCAGAATGGGTAACTCTTTTGGAGCAAAAAAATACTGAGTTTTGAGAAGGGTGTGACCCAGCTTGGAAAGAGCATCCGCTACAACATTTGATTCCCTTACACAATGACAAGCAGGGATATCTCCAAGTCGATGATTCGTGGACTTCCATAATCTAGTGAGCTACAATAGTGGGCACTTTTTTCCTATGCTCATGGCTAGGCTTTTAGAGTCAGTGTACGCAATTGAGGACTGCAATTGCAACTCTTCAATAAATTCAGCTCCAACATCTAATGCATAGATTTCCCATTGAAAGCTAGTACCCATTCCTTTAGGCCCCGCAAATGCGCAAACGAGCTTCCCTTCATGGCATTGTTTTAAATATCGGCCGATAATCGATATTATCGGCCGAGTTATCGGATTTTTGAGCTCTCCGCTACGATAAGTTGGTTTTGTAATCGGTTATTGTTTTGGGGAGATTATCGACGAGTTATCGACGTTATCGGCACTTATCGGCCGATAAGTAAGGCTAAATTATCGGGATTATCAGGATTATCGGCCAGGCATTTTGAGTTGAGTTGTTGAGTTTTTAAAACCTGACCCGACCCGTTTTGTTAATAATATGAAACTTAAAACCCGAAACTTTGTGAATCCGACCTTCAAACCCTAACTTTGTCTCTAACGGCTGCTCCTTTTCTCATAGGGCGCTTCCTCCGTTATCTCCATCTCATGTTCTCTGCGCCTCTTCGTCGCTCGCCTTCATAAACTTCAACCTTGAACTTCGTCGCTAGCCTACCCTGTCAATCATTTTTTTTTTCCAGAAACATGGTTATATACACATGTTGTGAGCTTTCCTTCTCTTGTAATTCCTTCACGCACGCACTTTCTCTTTTAAGTAATATCAGTTATATAACTATTCTTTTATCATACTTTGTTTTTCTGTTTTTCCTGTAACAGAGACTTATATAAAAAATTAGTGAATAAACTGTACATACTTTGCTTTTCTGTTTTGGTGTGTTTATATTTCATTAAGCATGGTTAGATTACATTTTTTAGTTGTTATATTATATATATATATGCCATCCAATATATTGCTCCGATAAATACTACTTATCCCCGATATATCCCCGATTTCCGCTATCCAAATAAGGATTTTGGCCGTCTGATAAATCTCCGATAACCGATATTTAAAACCTTGTTTCATGGTATCGAATCACACCCCCAATGGCCATTTGGTTTTTACGACAAGATCCATTAACATTGAGAGCAAACGAATTGGCCTTTGGGGGGTCCAGGCACACAAAGAGATTCGTTTAGCCTTCGGGACCTTAGGGGTGATACCTAAAGCAAGCAAGGAGTCGATACCATACTTTGATGAATGCATCATAGGTTTGACAAGTTGGTCCATATGTTGCAAAGCATCAATGATAACCATCCTAGCATGCATATGATTTTTGATCATACCCCCATAGATAGTATTATTCATGAAACTCTAAATCTGGCAGTAGATGGCAATGCAAGCTAGCCTCCCCATAATGAAAAATGAGACTTTCATTTACAAGTCTGAAACCACCATTTGATTCTAGCGATTATGGATTGTGAAGGAAAGTAGGGAACTGCAAATATGATGCTGAAATACCTCCATAGGGATTAGGCTAGCTCGCCCTCCACAAATAGATGATTCAGACTTTTAGATTGATGGCTGCTGGAGCAAATGCATTTAGAAGCTAGGGATATACAACTCCTTTGTACCGCTTGTCCACTGGAAGGATGTTGAAGAGGATCCTCCAGCAGATAAGCTTGGTCGAGGTAGGCATGGGGGTGGCCCAAATATCCTCTAGAATATGCATATGAGGATGGTGATCACAGATGGAGTTTCATGCAGATTTGGTGGAGAATGACCCTGTGATTTCAGAGGCCCAATGGCGTTTATCATCATCCTCTGATAGCCTAGGAGCATAAGCATATAAGGACTGCATCACTTCATGGCCGAGACAGTGAAGTAAATCCTCGAATGACCAAGTACCGTTATGATAGAAGTCCCTAAGTTTTAGCTTGGATATCTCCATTGGGGTTGAGGAGATCCAGTCAAAACTCAGGGTGTCAACGGTCATACCAGAAAAAAACATTGCCTCTGCCAATGAACCATGAACATCGATCAGCAAATTCATGTCTTAAGACCAGAATATTTTTCCACTCCACTAAGCATCGTTGACGGCCCAACCAAGATATGGGACATGGCTGAATTTTGTACTTAGCTAACATAAATGAAGTCCAAATGGAAGATTGGTTACATAGTTGCCAGCATTGTTTGAGAATGAAAGCTTTTTTGATATCAAAGAGCTTGCGGAAACTCAAGCCCCCTTCATTGACAGGGATGCACAAGTTATGTCAGCTGAGCCAATATTTTTTGTTGCCATACTCGGAGGAGCCTCAGAAGAAATTAGCGAGCAAACCCTCAATCATCTTGATAATAGATTTAGGGAATGCGGTAGATGAGAGAAGGTAAATGGGCATGCTACTGAGGACATGTTTAATGAGAATGATGCGACCCGCACTACTCAATAGTTTGCAATGTCGCCCTAGCAGGCGAGCTTTGATTCTATCAATTAAGGGCAAGAAGGGGGTTATCTATCAAATAGGTCATTGGGAAAACACCTCTAGGGAACTTGAGAGTAGATTTGACCACCCTAGTGCGTGATCGAGAGGCTTTAGATTGAATGTAGTATCGGCTCTTAGCTAGGCTGAGAAGCTAGCTCGAGGATTGCATGCATTTGTCCAGAAAATCCAAGATGGATATGAGGGACTGACGGAAAGCATTGGCAAATATGATCAGGTCATCCGCAAATAGAAGATGGGTGGGACAAGTGGCCATGGTAGTGGAGAAGTGGGCTGAACTGGGGATGAAGTGAGCAAAGCCCAAATATAAGGCTTCCTCTGCTATGATGAATAGACTCAGAGATAATGAGTTCCTTTGCCTTAGATCTCGAGAACTCTTAAAATAGCCCCTATGGGTGTCTTGAAAGACCACTGAATAATGGCAATTGCAAAGCTTTGATGAGCTCAACTCAGTCCATGGAAAAGCCAAACTGAAAGAGGACTTCCCATAAGAAATCTCATTCAAGGCGATCATATGCTTTATGCATGTCTAGGTTGAGGATGATGTTGGGATGCTTGGCTTTTTTGTCAAGATCCCGACAAATCTCTTAGGCAAGACTCACATTATCAGATATACTCCGACCTTTCACAAAGGCCTCTTGATTGATTGGGGGAGATGATCATGGGAAGGACCGAGGCAAGTCTCATGCAAATCGCCTTAGCAAAGATTTTGTATAAGATGGTACATAAGCTTATGGGACAGAAGTCATTGAAGTCGAGGACAAGTTGCTTTTTGGGAATGATGACAAAGGCTGTGTGGGAGATGGCTTCAAGGAGGCGGGTTTGTGAGCCAGGAGGTCATTAGCTGCCGCAAGGATAGAGGGCTCAATAATTTCCTAGGAGGAAGTGCAAAATGATACCGAGAATCCATCAATACTCGCAACACTGTCCACTGGGATAGAGAGGGCTGCATGATGAAGCTAGATCAAAAGGTCTCAATAGCATGAGGTTCATATCTGCGGAGATCTTGTTGGGGATGAGGTTGAGAAGATCAATCTTGAGATGGTGGGGTTCGGAGGAG